CATGTAACTGAGCTTTTCTACAATAGCATGATATATATATTAAAAAAAAAAAGAAGAAACTTAAAGCTCAGATAACAAAAAGAAGAAATGCATCACTTTTTACATTTAAGGACTTGTAAGAGGCATTGAATTGGAACAAACTAGTGAACACAAAGCCTGACCAAAGCGTTCATGTCATTGGGTTCTATGTTTTGGAACTTGTACTTGTTTTCAAGTTTGAGCAAGTAGATAGATACTCAAATATTCATCTTCAGCCTCACTTACTGATGATAATATCAGAGTTTCCTTCCAATGCATTAAAGTAAGCTGCTCCTTCCTTCTCTACTGTTCCAACTTCTTCGTTTCAATAGAAATCTAACAACAGCCTTCATGTGATTCGTCTTAAACTTATATATGGAAGGAAGGTGAAGTAGGAGAGAGTAGATAAGCTGGAGGAAGAAGCTCAGTGACGCAAAAGGCGAGCGCTACGGCACTCAAGGCTCCCCACGCCATATTGTGAAGTGAAGAAACGCAAAATGCTTTGGGCTTTGTACTGGAAGATCCTCTCCCCCATGATGATGAAGCAGAGGCCATAGTGAGAAACGGAATATATATTTATATATAAACGCTGCGTTGCTGCACAGAAAAAGAGACAAGGCAATATAAAACAGAGAAAGAGAGTGTGCAAACAAAGTCAGAACTCATAAGCTATCCCCAACAAAAGGCATCTGATACTTTTCTAGAAAGTCACCAAACTTGAAGCTTCACTTGATGAAATAACACTTACCTACAGAAACAGAACGGTGTCGTTTAACAATCTTTGCAAGAATAGACATAATCAAACCGAATCAATTCTAACCGAACTAAAATTCATCAATTCTAAACCGAACCGAAAAACAAATGGCCAGGAGAGAGTGGACTCATTTGCGTTTGCGACGTTTTAAAGATTAGGGGAGACTCTCTCTCTCTCTCTCTCTCTCTCTCTCTCTCTCTCTGTTCCAAAGGAAAAGGAATCAAATTTTGTAATGAACGCATTGGGCGGCGCTAACGGTTTCTGGGGATGGAACGGCTTCAATCAACGGAGGAGGAGGCATAATAAGAAGAACAACTCTTCCGGCAATCAACGGAACTCTTCTGGATCTTCTGATTCCGTCAACGTGAGCAGCGGTTATCAGTTTCCGTTAAAGCAAGCTGTGACGGCCGGCGCACTCACTTTCACCGGTGACACCATTGCTCAGATATCTGGGAGGTGGAAGAAGAGAGCCGCTCTTAAACAATCAGCTTCTGATAAACTTGACGAGGTTTGTCTGAAGAAAGTTTCTCTCTTTCTTTGTTTCTACTTTGATGTAATGAATGAAAGATGAATCTCTTACAGAACTAAACTGTATGTTTTTGGTTATTGCAATTAAGTTTCCTACATTGTTCAAACTTTGTCTGAAGATTTTTGGATTGAATCTTGTCTCTATTTTGATTTAGTGTTACCTTAAATGAAGCTGAATCCTTACATGACCGAACAGTATGTTAGTGATGATGTTTGATTAGTGAGAGTAGTGGTGACACTATCTTGTAATAAAGTCTTGCTCTTTTTGCTATACAAGTTTCTTACATTGTTGGAAACTTGTCTTGTCTGAAGAAGAAGATGTTTTGATTGAATCATGTCTCTAATTTGATTTAGTGATACAAACCACCGTATGTTTGATTAGTTAATAGTGACAGTGTCTTGGAATCAGTTTTGTCTTACGTTGAAGATATTTTCTCTTCTTACATTGTCTATACTTTCATTTAATGATAACTGGACTGGAGTGAAGCTGAATATTACAGAACCGAACTATCTGTTGGTGATAATGTTTGTTAGTGAGTAGTGATAGTGTCCTACTTGTAATAAGCTTCTTACATTTGTTGAGTCTGTCTCTACTTTGATTTAATGATAAACTCGACTGAAGCTGAAGAACCTTATAAGAATCGAACTGTATGTTGTTGAGGATGTTTGATTAGTGAGTCAGTGTCTTGTAATAAAGTTTTCGTGTTGGGAGATAATTTACTCTTCTTACATTTGTTGAATCTTGTCTAAAGAGTTTGTGTGATTGTATCTTCTTTCACCTTAGGAGGAACTGTGGAACATATTCTCAGAACATGACTGGGTTCGTGCATTAAGGATGAGTACTTACGGGTTTCTCTTGTACGGTCCTGGTTCTTATGCATGGTATCAGTACCTTGACCGTTCTTTGCCTAAACCAACCGCCACCAATATAGTGCTTAAGGTAACCTATTCTCTCTCTAGCCTTATGTTACATACACTCTTTACTTAGCACATGTTTTGTGTAATCAGAGGTTTTAATTTGCCTTCACCAATCTTTTTGATAGGTTCTGCTTAACCAAGTGATCCTCGGTCCATCTGTGATCGCTGTTATATTTGCTTGGAACAACTTGTGGCTTGGAAAACTCTCTGAGCTTGGAAACAAGTATCAGAAAGATGCTCTTCCAACGCTTCTCTATGGTACCATTTTAAGCAGTCTTAAACTTTAACCATTCATTGTACATATGTTTATAGTTCTTTTGTGGGATTTTTGCAGGGTTTCGCTTCTGGGTTCCTGTTAGCATACTTAACTTTTGGTATCTCTCTCTCTTAATATAATTATGTATAGTCTGTATTGGTATATTCTACGTTAGAAGTCTGATGAAAGTTGAAATATTTACAGGGTAGTACCGCTACAAGCTCGTGTAGCTTTCATGTCAATGGGTTCAGTGTTTTGGAACTTTTACTTGTCTTCAACTTTGAGCAAGTAGATAGATATTCAAACTATTCATCTTCAGCCTCACTGACTGATGATAATATCAGAGTTTGCAATGCTAGAGTAAGCTTCTCTTTCTCTACTGTTCCAACTTCTTGGTTTCAATAGAAATTTGTCAGTCTTCATATGTTTCGTTATGAACTTAAATGACAGGTGAAGCAGGAACTCGTCAAGAAGCTGTTTTAAAACCCTTACCAAGTTTCTTACGTTTCTATGTTATTTTTTTAAGTAAAGAAATACATTACAAATATATTGGGAAGAAATTATCTCTTTTGTGGTAATTATAGCTTATTTTATAAAAAAATTTGAATGATATTGTTATTGAAGGATAATTAAGCATTTGTTAGATTTCTTTATTTTAATAGATTAAGATATACATCAAAAAAAATATGAATTCCATATATTTTTCCTTTTTAAAGCATACATTACGTTTAATTCAAAACTCTACAATATCTCTTCATGAAATAATACAACAATGGCGAATGGAGATGTTCATGTGGAAGAGCTTATGCCCTTCAAAAAACGTCGTTCTCGTCGTGTTGTCGTGGAGCTTCCCGAAAAGTTTAAGGACAAGATAGTAAAGATGGGAGGCACAGAAGAGACACTGATAACCAAGAGGACGTTGACTACAACGGACGTGGATAAAGGTCAGTCGCATTTATCTATACCCATGAGTAGTCTTTTAACACATAGCTTCATGACGTCTGATGAGAAGGAGAAGATGGAAAACCGAGTAAAAGGGGATAGAGAAGGAGGTTTAACAGTGGAAGTTATCGATCCTAAGTTAAAAGTATGGGAGCTGAAGATGAGAAGATGTAATATGAATAAGAAAAAGAAAACGAAGAAGGGTAAGACATTGAAGTCGAGTTCGTTGTATTCGTTAGCGTATCAATGGAACCAAGTGGTCGAAGATAATGAGTTTAAACAAGGTGATGAGTTGCAGCTTTGGTCCTTTAGGTCTAAGCAAAAGCTATGCCTTGCGCTTGTCTTGCTTCCAAGGTTATTGGGAAATTAGGGTTTTCAGCTCTATTTCTTTATTATTTTTGGAGAATGCCTTTGAAGGTTTGTTTGTTTTATTTTCGCTAAGTTATTTTGAAACTAAACTAGGGTTCTTAGATTATGTTAATTGTTTTGATTTTCTGTAGGCTAGGTGTTTGGTTAATTTTGTTTGAATGATTGTTGCTCGAACATTAAATTTATTATTATTGAACCTAAAATGTTGTAAGGGCTGAGTTTTGAAATTCGACTGAATTGATAAATCGAAGCTATAAACATTAGTACCAAATAGTGTATCTATCTTCTTCTTCTTTTTTGTCAGCTAGTGTATATCTATCTATCTTTATAGTTTTTATATTGTTTTTGAAAAGTAGCACGAACAATTTTATTTTTGCATGGATCATGTTTCCGTAAACTACTGATAGTTTGTGGCCTTTTACGTTGATAAATTTAATCTCAGTAATATTGTTGAATCAAAAGATTGTATGTCCAGTTTTAAATCATAACAAAATCTGATGATAGATATGTTTTCTTTTGTAAGGATAACGACTATGAAGTATGAACCGAGTCGAGTATTACATATACGACTAATCAACTACTCTTTATTTTATTTGGTTTATGGTTGAGAATAGGATTTATGTCACATAGGTTGGTCACTTTTAGGTATAAGATGGAAATGTCTTACCACATGTTAAATATGAAAAAAGTGACCAACTATTATAATACGTTTTAATGTGTGTTTTTCTTGTTTATTCACACCTCCTCTTTTAGTCACGCTCCCCTTCCGCGTCACACACGTCTAAAGATATTCGAACATTCGAAGAGCCAAAATGAAGATATATGCATATAAAAACACACACATAATTGAAATATACAAATATATACTAACTACTTTAATTTGAATTAGATCATAGACTTTCAAAGTGGAGGCTAGGAGGAATCTATTAATCAATGACCAAATTGAAATATATATACTTTAATTTGAATTAGATCATAGACTTTCAAAGTGGAGGCTAGGAGGATCAAATGAGAATCTATTAATCAATGACCAAGCTGAAATTGTGTAATAGATAAATACAAAATTAAATGATAAACAAAAACTAATGATGTATGTGTTTGACTATTCAGGTCATTAGGTGCACTGTTAGTAGTGTGATAAGTGTGTCGACAATAAAGGCCCACACGTAATTATATAGAAGCTTAAATACCTAACTCTATCATCTCCACCAAATACACCAAAGAAGGTTAAACAAACATAAATGGTTGGAGAAGAGTTCTTGAGACTGTTCGAGCACAACTGGTCGGAGAAACCAATTTTCATGAAAGACAAAGAACCTTTGAATCTCAACGAAGAAGAAGTTGGAGAGAAAGAAGATGAAGCTGTGAAGAAATTTCTTGTAAAGAGGGCTATGAGTGATGAGACGATGATGATGATGACGAGTTATGTTTCTTCATCAGATGATTTGTTCTCGTCTCCTAGATCGGTCTTAACCGTTAAAGCATCTCCGACCAAACTTCAGACGATTCTCTCCGGGAAAGAAGTCAACGAGTTCTCAACTGCGGAAAGAGAAAGAACACTTTCTGAACATTCAGAGAAAGAAGAACAGAGGAAGAAGAAGCAGAGAGATGTAAGAAAAAGAACGAGAAAGGGAAAGAGTATGTCGGATTTGGAGTTCGAGGAGCTAAAAGGGTTTATTGATCTTGGTTTTGTCTTCTCCGAGGAAGACCAAAGAGATTCAGAGCTTGTCTCTATTCTTCCTGGATTGCAGAGACTAGTGAAGAAAGATGATGGAGTAGGAGAGGTAACAGAGGAAGAAAAAGACATAAGCAACGGAAACAGACCCTATTTGTCGGAAGCGTGGGATCATTGTGGAGGGAGAAAAGGGAAGAGGAATATATCGCCGGCGATAAAGTGGAAAGTTCCAGCGGCGGCTCCGGAGGTGAAAGAAGTTGAGTTGAAAGATCAGCTGAAACAGTGGGCTCATGCGGTGGCTTCCACTATCAGATGATGATAATAACACAAAGCTTGTATTCTCAATTTGTGGTCCTTTGACCTTTGTGTATGTCAGCTTTTGATTGGTGTGAGAATAAAGATGACTATTCACAAATTCAATTATAAGGTTTAGTAATAAAATAGTGGAGTAATGGAGATTGATCCATCATCAATCTAAGTTGTGCTAAATCGTAACTAGTGGAGTGAAGTGTCTCTTCACGAGACAAAGTTATGGCAGTCAAATGAACAGCATAACTAAATTTATCTTTTCATAAACAAGAAAATGAGAGATTTGATCGTCTTCACATCTCCAATTAATCATCAAAGATGACCTTTTCCTCCCAAATTGACTAGACTACACCAGTATTTAGTTCTCTAGTTAATGTGTTCTAAGTCCAATTTCTTTAATTTGACAGCTTAGTTCACTCTTCTTTTTTTTTTTTGGGTGTGCACGCTTAGTTCACTCTTTGTTTAAGGTTTGGTAGTATTAATTGATGCTAAAGAAGCAGTCAGCCATCCATCTCCTAGATGGGATTTCTTGGGCGCATTATGTCTTTGGTTATGTTCTACTCAAGTTAAAGACCATTGTGGGAGCATCCCTTTGTTTTTTAATCTCTCAAATAACAAAGATAAAAGAGACACAAAGAAAAACCAATATTGGATCAATTACGCTATTGAAAGACTAGTTTAGAAAACAACAAAATAATACCGTTTCAAAGATTCACCATACAGAAATAGTTCATAAATCTTTTTTTTTTGTGAAAATGAAACGCTGCAACAAGCTTTTATCTTTGAATCATTGGTGGTTTAGATTGGTTCTCTACACTTCGTTTTTGGTTGTTTTGGCTTCATGCTTTCGACACTATCAAATATTATTTGTTTGCTCACATGCTTGCTTTTGTTCTTTAGGACAATAAAATATGTTAAGGCTAAATCAGTTTTTAATATCAAGACTTATCCAATATGATTTTTTCTTACAAAACTATGAATATGCTCAAGCCTTAGTTGTTTTAACCCTCGATGTTTAGAAGTTTGGTATTATAAAATTTTCGTGATATTCTAGAAACTCATCATAATTACTAGAGGATCTGCTAAAAAGAAGTTTAGTGTCATCGCGATTGATGTTGTCATTTTTTTCTATAATATGGGAAAGAGAGCTAGTAAGTACTATAAAGAGAATGCAAAGATGTTGAGATTGGAGAAAAAGATGAAAGATAAAGTAGTTGCAGAGAAGGCAAAGCAGGAACGTCAAGGCAAGAAGGCTGAGATAGTTCTTCAATCAAATGTCATGGAGAAAGAGGGAGAGAAAGCTAAGAAGGAGAAAGAGGGAGAGAAGGAAGAGGAACCGAAGAAGGAGAAAGAGGGAGAGAAAGAAGAGGAATCGCAGAAGGAGAAAGAGGAATCGCAGAAGGAGAAAGATGAACCGAAGAAGGAAAAAGAGGGAGAGAAAGCTAAGATGGAGGAAGAGGTTCACCTCCATTCAAGATCTAGGTGCATGATTATCAAGGACATGGTTAACCAATTTTTCTCCTTCATTGAAAGAAAATACCAACGATCTCAAACCTTCTTCCAAAGATGTTTTGTTTAAACCCTAATCTGCTGTCGTCGACCTCTGCGAGAAAAGAAAAAAAAAACACTGAACTGAGAGGAGAGAAAATGGCCGAGGATGATGAATCGAAGAAGGAGAAAGAGTGAGAGAAGGAAGAGGAATCAAAGAAGGAGAAAGAGGGAGAGAAGGAAGAGGAACCGAAGAAGGAGAATGAGGGAGAGAAGGAAGAGGACTCACAGAAGGAGAATGAGGAACCGAAGAAGAAGAAAGATGGAGAGAAAGCTAAGATGGAGGAAGAGGTTCACCCCATTCAATTTCTAGATTCAATGATTATCAAGGCCATGGTTAACCAATTCTTCTCCTTCATTGAAAGAAAATACCAACGATCTCAAACCTTCTTCCAAAGATGTTTTGTTTAAACCATAATCTGCCGTCATCGACCTCTGCGAGAAAAGAAAAAAAAACACTGAACTGAGAGGAGAGAAAATGGCCGAGGATGATGAATCAAAGAAGGAGAAAGAGGGAGAGAAGGAAGAGAAATCACAGAAGGAGAAAGAGGAACCGAAGAAAGAGAAAGAGGGAGAAAAAGCTAAGATGGAAGAAGAGGTTCACCCCCATTCAAGATCTAGGTGTAATGATTATCAAGGCCAGGGTTAACCAATTCTTCTTCTTCATTGAAAGAAAATACCAACGATCTCAAACCTTCTTCCAAAGGTCTTCAGACCAGTTCCACAACACACGAGCAAGGTAACAAATACTCTAGCCGGTGAAGAGCTCATCACTCCAAAGGTTACGGTTAGTGCAAAGAAGTTTGATGTTATTGTCGTTGGTGTTATGCTGTTTTGCTATGATACGGGACAGAAAATTCAGAAGTGATGTTGAGAGTAGAGGAAAAGATGAACAACACAAGTTTTGCACAGAAGGCAAAGCTGGAACGTCAAGCCAAGAAGGCTGAGATAGATCATGGCTGGGCTTCAGTCAGATGTCAAGGACCTCTCAAGGAGTGGAGAACGGCTTTGTATGCACCTAGCTAGCACGCAACACGCTCCGTGAACACAACAACCGCATCCGCCCGCGTCCTTGGCTTGGAATGGGATACAACCGTCGCCTCTAAGAGATAGCTTAGTATTTTTTAATCTAATATGACTTGGACACAAATATTATTGTGTGAATAAAATTACTGCATCTTGTTATGTGTTTAGCTATTGCTTTTTGGTGATTTGTTTAGTTGATTGCATCATGGTCTCTTGTCTTTGATATGCTTATTATTGAAGCCTTCTCTTGTCTCTGTTATACTTATTATTGAAGCCTTCTCTTGTCTCTGTTATTGCATTAAAAAAAAAGAAGCATTTATGGAAGGCAAAGCAAACCATGCAAACTTCTCCATTGCGCTGGACGCAAAGGTTAATGTTTGAGTTTTTTAAGGTCAAAATTGAAGAGCAAGTTTACATAATGCTGGGATTTGGCATAAGCTGGTTTATTGCATTACACTTTATGGCTTACACTTATGCCATATCTTTGGGCTTCATCAAACCATGCAAACTTGGTCCATTGCATTACACTATTGTCTTCCCCATGCTCTTGTTCTTCACCGTATGTCCCATAAGCTGGTTTATTGCATTACACTTTATGGCTTACACTTATGCCATATCTTTGGGCTTCATCAAACCATGCAAACTTGGTCAATTGCATTACACTATTGTCTTCCCCATGCTCTTGTTCTTCACCTTATGTCCCCTTAGAACCTTCCTTTTTATTTTCTTCTGATCATTAAAACTGGTTAATGACTACTATTATTGTAGGTTCTGTCAGAATGGGTTTATCATGGGGTGATTTTGTTATCTCTGTTGTTGCTTGTTATTATCTTTGTCTTCTATCTAGTCGAAATCTTGCATACAAATATGGTCTCAATCATATGTGAGATGTTGGAGGTGATGAATTTGTTTCACTAGATGAGATTAAAAGAGATTTGAGTTTGAGGACTTTTTTTTTGATGAACTGAGTTGGAAGCGGTAAAACGAGGTTAAAAATGATGTTATTGATCTTTGATTTGCAGTTATGTATTTTATCTTTCGTCAACCTATTTAATATTTAAATATTGAATTTTTGTTATTCTAAAATTTTCTATGATTTCGATGTTTAATAATGACTATTTTATTTATCATATAATTATATAGAACGTCTATTTATTTATTTGTATTCTTAGATATACTAAAATAATAAATTTGAATTCACATATTAATAAATTGTGTATATATAGATATATATGTTTATATATTTATAGACGTTTCTAAAGTTTCCTAAGCAAAAAAAATTGTGTTTCCTAAGCAAAAAAAAATTAAAAATAAAGTTCCCACGTTTCGTTTTCGCGTATCTGTTTCCGATTCAATGCAACTTAGGTAGAATCGTTTTAAAATACACTTTGAACTCTTAAATTCATATAAATTATTTTAAAATTTATTAAAAAATCATATAAACTCAAACATTATATTCAATAACAACTTCCACCAAAGTGTTTTAAAGATTTTCACCATCTGGAGCACTTCATAAAACTTTCCAACAAGCTTTTTAAATTTTTTGAGTCTACTACTGCTCAATCACCTGAGCTACAATTTGGTATAGTGATCCGCTGCTCTAGATAACGACTGTATTGATACTGGATAACCCTTTCCCATCTGCACAGAGAGCAGTTTACTTTACACTTAACTAGAGTTTTAAAATGTTTCCAAAAGAAGACGATGGGTTTTGATTCAAAAGCTTAACGTACTGCATAAGTGGAATGCATTCACGTAACCAGCATATTTTGAAGCTGCATAAAAAAAGCAAAAGAGTAACCACTCACAGCTCATCTAAACAAATATCTCTATACAAAATTATAAGCTTGATATGGAGTGTTATTACTCTTTTTCAATCCGGCAGGCTTAGCCAGCAAAAGAGCGTTCATAAATGCACCAACATTCTCTCGCAATGCATCCTCAGGAAAACTCATCTGCTTATGAAAGTGTTCTTGTTAAGAACAGATCTAATCAAATTTACCATAAAGTCTTTTGGAAGGGATGTGTGACCTTTCCAAGTGGCACATGGAGAATAGAAGTTTTATCCATTCTGAATTTGGTATGTCCAGCTTTTGCGTCTTTCACTGCTTTCATGACATCCTTGGTCACACTCCCTTGCTACCACAAATACAACACATAAGTATACACCAACGAGAGTAAAGATGTTGAGTGAAGAATCAAACTTACTTTGGGGTTAGGCATCAAACCATGATTGTTAAGAATCCTTGATATCTGCATATAAACCACACCAACCATTTGCATCAACTTCATCATGTTATAGATGAATATGGATTAGTGATTAAATGCAAGAAACCTTGTAAACACGGGGCATCATTTTCGGAGTTGCAAGACATCTGTCAAAGTCGATCTTACCGCTTTCTGCAGATGAGAGATAAGTACCAATAATCAATCTACCATTAGAACACACTTCAACAAACAAATCTTGCCTCCGGAAATGAGATAAATCATGATAGAGCCAAAGTGAATTATAGAAGGAAGATGAAGTAAAATGCAAAGGTTTCATTACTCAAGATTTCCTCAATAAGCTCAAGACCACCAACGACATCAGCTCCTGCAGCCTTTGCATCCTCTGCATCCGAGCCCTCGGCAAAGAAAGCCACTCTCACATCCTGAACAATGGAGATCATTACATATAGAGCTGATATACGTATTGATTACTACCAGGGATTAGAGAGAGATTTCTTGTACCTTTTTAACAGAGTGTGGTAAAGCCAAAGTACCACGAACAATCTGCAGTTTAAACAGAGTAAAGACTAACGACCACAGGATAAGAGTGAGAAATGTATTGAGTAATATGATAGCCAGAGTAAAAGATTACCAGCTCAGACCGGCCTTTTTCGATGCCCAACCTCACATGAGCCTCAGGAGTTTCATCAAACTTCGCCTTGGCATTTCCCTGAAACATTGATGAAAACCCCATAAGAACCAAAACATACACACCATGTTCATTTTCGATTTATATTGGCCTCTCTGCCTATAAAGCCCATACAAAAGCTTCCCTAGTGTCGTTTGGTGAATCAGAAAAATAAAATTATGTATATGGTCGGCTTTTATATGGTCGTTAAGTTTGACTAATAATAATCTTTGATTTAGTTTGATTATCCTTGTTCTCTTTTGTATGGTTGTAAATGATATGGAAGTATGTGAAGTTTCTGAATATTACATGTAAAGATTCTCACCCAAGGAGAAACTGATAGAAACTTATTATATAATTTAAAAGTAACTCATACGAATTTGGTCCATTTTCCTTCTTAACTTCTGCATGATTGAGATTAGAGCGATTGACATGTAAATCTGTAGATAGTAAATATTTTCTTTGTTTCTTTGATTTTTCTACTCTTCTGCATGATTGAGATTTGAGAATGACATGTAAGTCTGTGAATCGTAAAAGATTTTTCTTGTTTTTTTTTGGTATAAATGAATTGCAGAAAACTACAATGGTCTTTGGAGTATATGCGCCAAAAATATTATAAACACCTTTTAATTCATGTAGGTCACACATACAATCATGATCACCATCCACCACCACTTAAATAAATCAAGTGTTATCCTTTTTTATATCCCCTTATTATAGTCACTTACTATCTCCTCACACAATCATTTCACTCCAATGGCTACAACAACAACACCACCATGGGAAGAGCTCCTAGGCTCCAAGAACTGGGACACTCTCCTAGACCCATTAGACCAATCACTTCGCCAACTCATTCTCCGTTGCGGTGACTTCTGTCAAGCCACTTACGATGCTTTCGTCAACGACCAAAACTCCAAGTACTGTGGAGCTAGCCGTTACGGCAAGTCTTCTTTCTTCGACAAGGTCATGCTCGAGTCAGCTTCTGACTACGTCGTCACAAGCTTCCTCTACGCCACAGCTCGTGTCTCTCTCCCTGAAGGCTTGCTTCTCCGCTCTCAGTCACGAGATGCTTGGGACCGTGAGTCTAACTGGTTTGGTTACATTGCTGTAACGTCTGATGAACGTACTAAGGCTTTAGGACGCCGTGAGATCTACGTGGCTTTGAGAGGGACTAGTAGGAACTATGAGTGGGTTAATGTTTTAGGAGCTAGGCTTACTTCAGCTGAACCGTTGCTGACCGGACCGGAACAGAACGGTTCTGGTTCTAAGGTAGTTGAAGCTGATAGTACTTTTGGTAGCGACAGTGAAGACGAAGAAGGGTGTAAGATCATGCTTGGATGGCTCACAATCTACACTTCTGACCATCCTGAATCGAAGTTTACTAAGATGAGTCTAAGGCTACAGTTGTTAACTAGGATCAAGGAGCTTCTCTTGAAGTATAAGGATGAGAAGCCGAGCATTGTCTTGACTGGACATAGCTTGGGAGCTACAGAGGGTGTTCTTGCTGCCTATGACATAGCTGAGAACGCTTCTAGTGATGATGTTCCAGTCACTGCGATAGTGTTTGGTTGTCCACAAGTGGGTAACAAGGAGTTCAAGGACGAAGTAACACGTCATAAGAATTTGAAGATACTTCATGTAAGGAATACTATTGATCTCTTAACTCGATATCCTGGAGGACTCTTGGGGTATGTGGATATAGGAACCAACTGTGTGATCGATACAAGGAAGTCACCTTACCTAAAGGAGTCAAGGAATCCAGGAGATTGGCACAATCTTCAGGTGAGAGGCTCTTTCATTTTTAACTGCAATACATTAGTACTAATGAGGAGTTGGCCTGGTGGTTAAAAATCTTAAAATTATATATTAGTGTGTCTAAATGGTTAGGTGCAAGATTCGGTGGAATGGGTTTTCTTGAATTTAAAATGTATGGGCCTACGGGCCCAGAACTTGATAGTCATTCATATGTGTGCAGGCAATGCTCCATGTGGTTGCAGGATGGAATGGGAAGAAAGGAGAGTTTAAATTGATGGTGAAGAGAAGTATTGCATTAGTGAACAAGTCATGTGAGTTCTTGAAAGATGAGTGTTTAGTGCCAGGTTCTTGGTGGGTGGAGAAGAACAAAGGAATGATCAAGGACGAAAATGGTGAATGGGTCCTTGCTCCTGTTGAAGAAGAACCTGAACCTGAATTCTAAACTGGATCTGTTTTATGTTTCATGTTAATCTACAATAAAAGAACCTCTTGTGTGTGATAAAAAAACATAAGTTATTTTTATATTGATATATGTGTTATGAAAAGATCAAAAGAGTGATTCATCAACCAAACGTTCAAACGGTGTATTTTTCTTACATCAAATCACTGATTGTTGTTACTACATGATATAACTTAAATAGAATGCAAACCAAAACACATGTAACAATAATATGTTTCCTACTCAAAATACCATCAAACCAACAACATGAGTAGTCACTAGTTTGATTCTTCGAGATATCAAAGACTTATATGGTGTGTTGCTCTCTTAACATCACTACTATTGCTGCATGAGGGTGAGGATAATCTTGTCAAGAAACGAGAAATCTATCTAGCAATTCGAGACATGATGTCATGATTCATGAACTGGGTCTAGATACTATTTTGGATGTTAAACCTTTAGTGAATTGAAGTGATATCATTAAAGCTCGAAGCCTTGAGAATAGAGGAAAACCCATCATCCGTGAATGACAGCTGGTTTATCCTAAAGGAATGCCTCTCAGACAAAGCCAAAGTAACTTTAGAAACATGGTGGACTTTTTTTTGACTATATTTGTTTTTGTCTTGGACAAATCAAATTAATTTAATATAATCATTTTAAGAAACAGAACAACTTAGCATGTATATATAAGGATATTAATCGATACATTCTTATCTAAAAGTGGCAAATTAAAACAATATAATCATTTTAAGAAACATAGCAACTAAGCATATATATATATATATATAAGGAATTTTTTTATATATAAGGATATTAATTGACACATATTAATGTAATATTCTAAGAAATTAGATTTAAAATTAAAATCAAAATAATTTGAACACATAAAGAAATCAAGAATATCAAGATAGAAAAACAGAAAATGCTAGACTCATTGAAAATATATATATTTGAATATACTTACAAAATACTTATTGGTGTATTAATTGGAATTCCCAATTAATAGATATATAGAATATTAATTTTTTAGTAGATAAATTTAATAAAGTTGATTATTTTCTTGCTCCTGGAATTTTTATCATTTGATTTTTACGGTTTCTTGTGTGTCTGGATCATTCTTTCTACTTGTTAATATAAGTTGGAGATATATGCAGGCTTTTGGATCTGTTTTTCACTAAGGGCTTTAATGGGATCTAGCTGCTGCAAATGTGGCCGAGGAGCCGCGGAAGGATCAGAAATAACGTAAGAGTAACTTATGTACTTCTTTTGCAAATGGTCACAAATTCTTTCACGTTAATTTTTATTTTTATTTTGTCTGATTTTGTTTTGATTCATATCTAAACTCCATCAGTGTAAATAGTTTGAAGCTATAATTTCAGAATTCTTGTGTGCAAAATCCATTTACTAGCTACACATTTGATGAAAACCAAATTAAATGCAACTAATTTGTAGATGTTATCATGGAAGCATTTAAAACGCCTTTTTTGTTTAGTTTCATATTTTCCTTAATCATTGATAATATTTATCTTTTTACTAAACCATTCTGATTTTGAATGTGCAGGTTAGAGGACCTCGACGACCAAGCTAAAGGTACTAAAATACTAAAAGTTTAATTCTCAATGTTTTCTGTAAGTCTTTTCTTGAGAGAGACATATGGGTTAAAGATAAATTTATGTGATTTTAGACCTGAGAGAGATGACAACACAAGATACAAGAAATGAAAACATGCAAGAGACAACAGAAGATACAGTAACTGATGATGTACCATTAGAATCGGAATCTCAAAGTCCATATTTAAGGCCCTTAGAAGTTTTGGAGTGTCCCAGTTTAGCTTCTGTTGGAACACATGAAGAAAGTTTTAGTAATGAAGAGTTTCCAAGAAACAGTGTTCTAAATGGGTTGTCATGTTATAGAGCATCAAATATTCTTTGGAGTACCGGTTCATTTTCTGAACCAATCCCAAATGGTTTTTACTCTGTGATCCCGGTAAGCTACCTTTAGGTCAATATTGTTCTTGTCTAAACTTGCTTGTCAAGAATCATTTCTTTACCTTGATTAAGTTGTTGGTTTTTCAACAGGATGATAGATTCAAGCTTTTTAAAAGCATTCCTACATTGGAGGAACTTCATGCTTTAGGTGGTGAAGGTCTAGAAGCTGATGTGATTATTGTAGATTTGGACAAAGATAACAAGATTAAAAGGCTAACGAAGTTGGCCATTGCTGAAGTCCACTCGAATCCAACTAAAGCTATTCAGATCATTGGTGAACTGGTAAGAATACTAACTATAATGTATCAGATCGTTTGCTTGTACAACTAACTATGGCTCATGCAATGAAAATATGAATTCTGCTATTCAGGTCGGTTTAATTTTAGATAATTAAACTTAAATAAAACCAACTCGGTTCAGATACTGTAAAAAAGAACCAAATTAAAACGGTTTGATTAGCCTAAGTAGTAACTCGGATTCAAGTTATTTTATGTAAAAAAAAAATTGTTTAATATTGCTACATTTTTGTTTAATTTGAATATAAAAATGACTAGTTTTTTTTTCTTGTTAAGAAAAACAAACGTTTACTAGGTTACCAAGAAATCTTGTTAATTGAAATATTTTTATTCTTTTGGCAGGTGGTAGATTTTTATGAACTAGCAGCTTCAAGAAGTCCATCAAAAACTAGAAAACCATTTGGAAGTCATGGTTTTCCACTGCTAGGAGAGATCAGTCATGGTTCTTGTCATACTCGATCCATCTTGTTTAAAGTTTTAGCTGATGCTGTTAACCTTAAAAGCACACTTCTAAAGGTAAGTACTGTATGGAAGTGTGAGTACTGCATCATTCCAAATTACACATGTCACTGATTAGTTCTGAGAACTTGGCATTATTTTGTTTATTTTCTTGATCAGGGTTGTCCTAATGATCTGAACTCTTCTGCTACTATCGACTCACATAACCATATGTCTGTTGTTGTTATGAACGATACTGTGGAAATACTGGCTCCTATTTCAGTTGCTGGGTATGGCTGTTGTCATTCACCATTGGAGTCAAGTAGCCCCATGTACATTTATATGGACAAAATAAACCATGCAAAGTAAGCCATATGTACAAGTCCTCAGTTACCCATTACCAAAAAGGGTTAAATATTGATTATCAAGTTTTTTTTATCTTTGTTGCTGTTTCATCACTTTGTCACTAAGCGAGACAAACATAGCTACAGAACTCTTGCTACATAGCCAGGAAAATGTTCTCAGGAAACAGCTTAGCGTTAATTCCAGGTTAGTTCTTGTTAAAATGTCTACTATTTGCATGAGATATCTTGAATCCAAAGACGTTCAGTTCTATCATGAAACTGATTATTATATAGTGTCATTTCTTTAACTTTTTTTTTTTTTAATTTTGTGACTGTTAAGTCCTGAGTATCCATACGTTAGTGCTCGTGAGAGGTTCATGCAAAATGCTGACAAAACTATTTTCAGCGATGATGCATCAAGGTACCTTTTTATATGTAACTGTTTTGTTTAGACAATATGTTTTCTGCAGACAACATCTGTTTGATGTGTCTATATATGGTATTACAGGTCAGTGAGAGATGTAAATGAATCCTTGATACAGACTCTCTTCTCGAAAGAGCAAGATGACAATGACAGCATTGAGAGCCATGATATCCACATCTGGAATAAAGTACTAGAATCTCCAATGTTCCAGAACAAGCCTTTGTTACCAAATGAAGAATGCATCATAGATTCCTCCACTCTGAAACTTGGGACTCGTGTTGGAATAGGTAAGACTTTATCTCATCAAACCTACAACAAACTCACTCTTAATTGTGGTTTTTATTTACCATCCAGGTTGTTCTGCAGAAGTCTTCCGTGGCACATGGAACGAAACAGAAGTTGCTATCAAGATCTTTGCTGATCAAGAAGTTACAGTTGAGAACATCAAAGACTTCTGCAATGAGATATTCATTCTTAGGTATTTTATATCCTTTAGTCTTTTATGTTTGTCTAAACTTGTCTTCTGACCTTTCTCTTCTGTGCAGTCGTATTCAACATCCCAATGGTAACCATCATCTTCTACCTTTTTGGTTTGCCTTCGATTACTTGTCCAAACGTAACATAAGGCATATATTATATGGACTTGTTGTAGTTATCATGTTTCATGGAGTATGCATAAAGCCACAGTTAACACTGGTCACAGAGTATGTGGATAAAGGGTCTTTACATCATTTGCTTCATTGGACTGATGAAATAAAGAATTTAAGCTGGAGGGAGAAGATAAACATTTTGCATGACATTTGCAGGTATTTACTATGAAAAACTTTAGATACATGATCAGGAGAGTTTCGGTAATCATCTGAATCTTTATGTGTGTTCCAAGGGGGTTAATGTACATACATGGGATGGGGATAGTCCACAGAGATTTAAAGAGTGCCAACTGCTTGCTGAGCAATGATTGGACAGTCAAGTTATGTGACTTTGGTCTCTCCATAATGATGGAAGGCACAACGGTCAATGACATTGTACCTGCAGGAACACCAGAATGGGTTGCTCCTGAAGTTATCCGCAACGAACCCTTGTCAGAAAAATGTGATATCTATAGCTTTGGTGTGATCATGTGGGAGCTATGCACTCTCTCCAAGCCCTGGGAAGGTGTCCCCAAAGAGAAAGTATGTTGGTTTGAACAAGAACAACACTTGGTATTTACTAAAACAAAACAACCAATCTAAATTTTGTTTTCAGGTTGTTAACACAGTTGCAAACGAGGGAGCTCGGCTAGATATACCTGAAGGACCATTAGCTAAGCTTATTGAAGGTATGTGTAAACTGTTGTTTCTCTAACAACCCTAAGAACATAAGCTTATGCAGTAATCTTTGTCTTGTTGTGTAGATTGTTGGTCAGAAGAACCAGAACAAAGACCAAACTGTGTAGAGATACTGACCTATCTAGCAACCTGCGAGAAGTCTCTTCCCTGAACCTGTGTTATCTTCTTTTAACAATTACTTCTGTGTTACTGAGTTTAAAATATAAAAATTGAACTTTTCCATTTCTGAAATCATTCATCATCTTTTGATCTTTCCTTTTACAAACATTACATAACAATTCAAAGTAAAACTTCAGACTAATTCTTGAAGATAATATAATAATAGTGTGGAGTAGTAACTCACTGTTTTAGTTTCAGTCAATGATGATGCGGCTGTTCAACTGATCCTCAAATCTACTACAAGAACCAACTCTCATCTCTGTGCTCATATCATTCTCAGGAGCTGGATAATAGTCTTCCCTAAGCTGCACATCTCTTAAGTTTGGGATCCTCAACAAAAAATTCATGAAATGCTCATGAGCTGTTCCATGAATAAAAAGCTTCCTCAGAGTTAAGCATTCTTGTAACAAACCTGCACCAGGAAGAGAAAGACTCCTCTGGTTAACATCTCTATCCTGTGGTGGCCAATAATCTAGCTCGCTTAAGTTCAAGTTTCCTATTCCAGTCAAGAAGAATCTCTCCCACAGGCTCAGATCCATCTGCATTGGTGGCGCGGTCAACGCGAAACCGATAGTGTCACCACAGTCTAGTTGCATCTTTGAGAGCTTTGGATAGAGAGCTAGAGAGCTTAGTCCTAGCTCTGGCTCAGAAGGCCTGCGTCTACCTCTGCAGTCTCCTTCTATCTTGATCCTAATCTCTTCCAAGTTAGGACAGTCATCTAGTCCTGTCAGAGGTAATGGTGTTAGAAACTCACCAACACTGATCCATAAAGACAGATACTCAAGTTTCTCCCACACTCTGTCTTCAGAACAGAACCCATTCCCATCATCTGATGAATACTTGCACCTCTTCTGACTCCTCTCATCACCATCACCATCACCATCACCATCACCATCACCATCACCATCACCATCATCATTATCATTAGTCTCGCTTGTTTCCACTCTTTCTCCACCTTCCTCCTCTGAACCAGACCAAACACAATCAATATGCAGCTTCTTGATCCGATCACAGATAGGCTCAACGGCCTTTATAGAAGCTGTTGCATCTAGATTCTTACAGCAAGAGATTCTAACATCAGTTAATGTCTTCCTAAGCAATGTAACCATTGTTCTTAATCCATTCACTGTTACATTCTCACACCCTTGAATCTCAAACTTACGCAGCATACAACATCCTCTCCCTATAGCCACCAAACTCATATCACTCAAATCACCAGAGTTTTTAACCGACAACGAGGACAACCCTCCACATAACGCCACACCGTCAAACCGCTGCCAATCTGCCGCGGAGCAAACACCTTGAAACTGTCCTAACTTCAAAACTCTTAGCTTCTTGCATTTTGTGTTTAAAGCCTCTAAAGCTACACCACTAAGGTTCACGTTCTTCCCTATGTCAAGCACAAGCTCCTCTAGATGCGGTAGAGCTGAGAAAACCTCCATCAACGTCGCCGCCGTGACAGCTGAATCTCCAGCTTCAGTACCTATCCATAAGCCAAATAAAACATTAGCACACAGCTAAAAAAATTAAAATAATTTACATAAACTAAACTCTCTAAATTTACAAAAGAAATATTAAAAACTTATTAAATTGTTTATAAATCCTAAATTTAAAAATACTTTTATAAACAAAAACTCTCCAAACTTACAAAAATATTTAAAAACTACTCCCTCCGTTTCATCATATATGATGTATTTTACATTAGTGCACACGGAGATTACAATATTTACATTCTTTCAAAAAGTAATTTTAAAAATATATTTTAAAATCATTCGACCAATTACAAAAAAAGACAAACCGTAAAATTTGATTGGTTGAACAGTCTCCAATAAAGTTAAAATTAACTTTAAAACCTCAAAACATACCTTAAAATCTCAAAATATTTTATATTTTGAAACAAAGTAAACCTTCTAAAACATCATATAAACACCAAACAAATTATTTATAAATCCTAAATTTTTAAAAATAATTTACATAAAAAAAACTCTCCTAATTTACAAAAAAAAATTATTAAATTGTTTCTAACCCATAAATTTGAGGATCAAGTTACCTGGAACCATTCTAGGACTTGCCAAGGACGCAGTGTCCACCATGTGCAAGAGTGTTAGCTTCGGACAGTTAGTAGACACAGCGGAGAGAGTCTCATCACCAACAAACTCAAAGTATCTCGGATCAAACGTGCAAGCCACACGAAACTCTCTAAGATTAGGACAAGCTTTAGTAATATCAACGATCTCACTACACTTATACCCCTCAGTAAAAGAAGCCGTCAATATATCCAAACGAGTAAGCCTCGCCGCCACGTCAGCATAACGGTGGAGAACGGGAGGCAAGTCCTCCGTCCAGTGATAGAAAGCAGAGAGATCTAAAGACTCGAGGAGGCCACAGTTTTCGAAGATGGGAACAAAGTCGCCGCCCAGAGGGATCTGAGAGGGTCTCTGGTGCCAGCGGATGAGCTTGACGTGGCGAATCCTCGGCCATTGAGGGAGGAGGAGGTCGAGGGAGGCCGGGGAGCGTGAGTAGACGGAGAGGGTGGTGATGGAAGGGAAGCAGAGGTGGAGGCGGAGAGCGAGGAGGGGCTGGTGATCGATGGGGAGGGAGGTGAGGAGAGGGTGGCCCCACGGGGAGAGGAAGGAGAGATCGAGGTGGGAGATGGAGCGGAAGCAACCCGGGAGGAGGTGGAGGTCACGCGCGTTGCCGCGGAGAGTGAGGTGAGAGCGGGTGGATCTCTCGAGGGCGAGGAACTTGTGGGAGACGAGGGAGAGGGAGTTGCGGGCTCGTGAGTCGGTGACGAGAGAGGAAATGGTGGATAAGATGACGTCAGGGAGGTCGCAGAGAGTGGTGGTGGTGGTTGAAGCCATGAGGCGGAGAAGGAAAGTAAAATCTTTGGAGATGAGTTATGTTCAAGATTTAGACAAGAAGTAGAAGAAGAGATTTGTGTTTGGGAGGAGCAGAGAGAGAGGGAGAAAGACACGTGATGCTGACATAGTGACTTTCCTCTCTCTCTCTCTTTTATTTTTATTTTAAAAAAAATTAATGTCTCTTTGGTGTGTGTTATGGGCAAAAGGATCTTAAAATAGATAATTCGATTGTCTTTTGCTTTTGTTTTGGTATTCCATTGGGTGTTGGATGTGTACTTTGTTCTATGATGATCTTTTTACTCTCTGTTTCATGCATAGTGGATTTTGATGGATGTCCAAGATTACATACGGATGAGAATGAAAAAAAATCGAATTAAATCGATCTAACAACAATTGAGTGTACTGTTCAAATTTCATATCCCTACTAAATATAGTATAACTTTTAGAATCATACGTTTTTGATTTGATTATTATTATAAAACTGGGTGTTTGGATAACAAAGATAAGATAGGCCAGTCTTATTTTGTTTCTGACTACCTAGGGATGAACAGATGATCTCATCATAATATGTTGCCTTAAATATTATATTTGATCCAAAAAAAATATTATATTTGTATCAATCACAAGTTTGTATGACACATTTTTAAAAGTCTCAAGCGTGTTGTATCATGCGCACTATATTATCCGGAGAAACCTTAATCCTAGTAACATGTAAGGGCAGGATTATCGGGAAGTTTTAGTGGGTTTCTTAAGGTAATGGGACCCACAATACACAAAAAACGGGTAACCAAAGTCACCAAATAAGGACCGATTATTGGGGTTTTCTGTACTGTTTGCGGGTCCGTCCGACACGTGGCAGCCTGCTATTTGTTCCCTTTTTAATTTTTTTTTTAATTTTTTTTTTTAAAAAAAAACAAAAATTAAGAAACTCTTTTATGGCTTCAGCGATGAACATGGTCAATGTCCTAAAAAGATAAAGAACAAATGTAGGGTACTATTTTATTATCCGACTCAAAGATTTTGAAAATCTTGAATTTTCTCGAATGTATAGTAAGTACGGGAACATGAATCCACTTGAATTGTGCATATGCATCGTGTCAGAATAATCTAAGCTCGTTTTAAATGTTTTACAATGCTTATATATTTTTATATTTTTTTTTTGAAATTAAATACATTTGAATCATCAATAACAAACAAGTTTATCAATGGCGCAATATATTTTCTGGAAACCCTCGTATATATTCTCTCAACACATGAAAATCTTTTAATGGTTGATCCAACCAAACTATCTTTTAATGGTAGTCATCTAATGTTTACATGAATAGAGTAAAACTAATGCTGATCCCCTTGTAATTACAAATTTTGATCCAATTGTCATCTGATTGGCGATCTACCTTTCTCGGAATGCAATTTAGGTTGTCAATTTGAAGATATGTGTTGATGCTTTCATTCCAGACCGCTAGCTTAGCTAATATGTTAATAATATTTAACAATGTATTATATACGAAGTAGTGTTGGATATCTTAGCGTATATACTGAGCTAAGAAAAAGTTACGTTCCATTAGAACTAATTTATATATTACAATGTCAAAACAAATTCCATAAAGATGTAGAATTCAATCGACAACATTAACTAAAGGTCACAACTTTTAAAAGAATCTTTTGCATATATGATGGACCTATAGACAAAAGAAATTGGTGTCAAGAGTGTTCCTCAGAAAGCTATATTATATGTGTGAAATTGTAGGAGTAGTTTTTCAAGAAAAGAAACAAAAAAAACATTGAGAAAGTGATTATGGTAGAGCAAATAAATCACCGCTCGACATTTTGACATTTTACACGGATCTTAAAAAGTAGTAAATATCGTGAAAATGGTGGTGCAACAACTTTTCCATATATATATTATGGAATTGCCGAATAAGCCGTAACTTGACAATTGTTCTAAAGCATCACAAAGATATAGATATATCATCAAAGTATAAGAGTCAAAATCAGCCTGTCTCTCTGTATTCCTTAATGTTCCCACTTGAATTACATTTTTTTTTCTCTAAAGAACAACCTGCTTTGTCCCTTATAGGTGCATGTATCTAACATGTATTTATTTCCTCCAGAGCATGTATCTAACATGTATTTGTTTCCTCGAGAATATTATTATTATCAAACCTCCTTTGCCTCTACACCTCTTAGTTATTATTCTTATTTTTTTTTGCTTATAAATGTGTTGTGCGAAGAAGACGAAATTAAATTTCTACTCAACTGTTTGACAAGGGATTACACCACTTTTAGTTATAGTACTATCTTTATCGAATTGTTATTCTTTGTCCAAAAAAAAAACAATCTGTCTAGTAGCTCCTAATATAAATCTTGTACGAGTACATTAATAACGTAACTTCACGTAATATTTTTTTTTCTTTTTTTTTTACCTTCACGTAATATGATTGCCATATACATATCGTACACGTGTCTTCGTAGTTCTTGTTTATGCTAGTCTAAAAAGTCTGATGGAGTATTTTACCACCCATTGTTCCACGTTTGTCCATTGTCATGATTTCATGCGTGCTAATTAAAAGGTAATTCAAGCACCCAATACAAATAATGACTAATTATTATAATGATAATCCTACGAGTTTATTTCATCAGGTATGATTATATAAAAATTCTGATAAAGTAATTTATTTTAAACTTGTAGTTTGTGGTTTCTCCAACTTGAATTGTGTGAACAACCTTTTGTGCGAAGAAAAAAGGTAATTTATTTTAAATTAAGTTGTAGTTTATTGTTCCTCCGAGTTGCATTGTTGTTAGTCTCAACAAAACTTATATGAAATATTGTTGCTTTAAAATTTTACTTTTTACTATTTTAATTTATACAAATAAAATTAAATATTCAGATAAAAATACAGTTTTCTGGATATATTAACATCAAATATCTAGGGCTGGGCATCATTACTCGTTACTCGCCTTAAACTTGGTATTTGACTCGTACCCGTCTTAAAAATTCAAGTACTCGGTGTTGTCAAGGCAAGTAACAAGGCGACAATTTTCATTACTTGCAAGACTAAGTCAAGTATCAAGTATCATTATTATATTTTGTATTTGACTCGTTCCGCCCCGCTACTTGTTCCAGTACTTGCTATTTGTTACATAATCTATTAATTAGTTTTTCATATTTGTCTTTTCTTTTACTTGCATTTAGGACTAGACATAAATACACACTACTCTTCTTATATTTGTTACTTATTTTGTATCCAATCTTGATCGTTGAATACTCGTCGTTATCTAGTTAAGTATTACACAGCAACAAATATTAAAAATTTAGTAATATGATTTGTTATTACTTGTTACTTATCTAGAGAAGATATTCTTGTTATCGTGATCATTATACAATGTTTATATACCATAATATACATT